AATAGCAGTAATCAAAGATGAAAAGAAGATAAAATTCATAATACTAGATTAAAAGATGAAAATCTAATGTTATAAGGTGAATCTAATACAAAATTGCCCAAAAGGGAAGTTCCAGTCGTCTCACGTGCGCAGCAAATATCCAACCTTATCTAAAAATGACAAAAAGTTCTATTTATACTAAGCTAAAATTTCCAGACAAAAATACCCCTGCGGAGACTACGCGGCCTCATTCTTGCTTTAGCGGCTGCGTAATTCTGATCGCGGTCCACGTTCTTCACTTCTGGATCTGGGTTTCGCATGGTTTCGCGGAACGCGTAATTTCCATCGCGGTCGCGTAGGAGACTTCTGCGACCGCATAATCTTGACGCGGACCGCACTTCTTGTTTTTTGCTTAAAATGTAAGCTCTCTGAACCTTAGCAACTGCGGTCCACGTAATTCTAATCGCGGCGGTGCAGGTAGTTTCGCGGCCGCACCTTTCTGACGCAGTCCACGTTCATGTGTTAGCCCAAAAATCCATCTCTCTGAATCTTCCTTTTGCGGACCTCGAAATAGTGCTTGCGACCGCGTTGTAGCTTTCGCGACCGCACAATATTTGTGCGGTCTGCGTTTCACATCTTTTGGCCCAGTCTTGGTTTTTGTTCAAGTTTTGACTCCTTTATGAGTTGATTATGACTCCTTTGGCTCATTTTAAATAATCCTTGCAAGCAAGCATATTACATTAGTTTTCGGGAATACCTTCATGCATTTTTGGCCCTAAACACAAATAAAAGAGAGCAAATAATAGGTTAAAATCCCTACTTATCAAGGTACCATGGTGTATGTTATTTGCTGATGACATAGTTTTAATTGACGAGACACGGGGTGGTGTTAATGAGAGGCTGGAGGTTTGGAGGCAGACCCTAGAGTCTAAGGGTTTCAAGTTGAACAGGACCAAGACGGAGTACATGGAGTGCAAGTTCAGCAACGGTACCTAGGAAGGGGATATGGAGGTGAGGCTTGATACGTAAGTTATCCCAAAGAGAGGTAGTTTCAAGTATCTTGGATCTATAATACAAGGTAACAGGGAGATTGATGAAGATGTCACGCATCGTATCGGAGAAGGATGGATGAAATGGAGGCTCGCTTCCGGTGTCTTGTGTGATAAGAATGTGCCGCTGAGACTTAAAGGTAAGTTCTACAAGGTTGTAGTTAGACCGACTATGTTGTATGGAGCAGAGTGTTGGCTGGTCAAGAATTCTCATACCCAGAAGCTAAAAGTAGATGAGATGAGGATGTTGAGGGGGATGTGTGGGCATACCCGGTTGGATAAGATTAGGAATGAAGTTATTCAGAAAAAGGTGAGAGTGGCCCCTGTGGAGGATAAGATGCGGGAGGCGAGATTGAGATGGTTCGGGCATGTTAAGAGGAGAAGTATAGAAGCCACAGTTAGAAGGTGTGAGCGGTTAGCCGCGGTGGGCAGCAGGAGGGGTAGAGGTAGGCCTAAGAAGTCTTGAAGAGAGGTTATTAGGCGGGACAAGACGCAGCTTGAGCTGACCGAGGACATGGCCCTAGACAGGGGGGTGTAGAGGTCAAAGATTAGGGTAGAAGGTTAGCAGGTAGTCGAGCGTTTCTCTTTGTCTTACTCATTTCGCTAGCATTAGTGTTAGTATATTATCTTTTATTCATAGATTGCTATTACTACCTATGTCACGACCCAAAATCTCACCTGTCGTGATGGCGCCTATCTCGATACTAGGTAAGCCGACAATCTCAATAGACCACCATATATTTTAAGTTTAAAAACATAATAATTAAATACAACGGAAGAAATCTCAAAAATACATATATAAACACTCCCAAAACCCGGTGTCACTTAGTACATGAGCATTTATATGAATACAAAGTCTGATTGATAAAAGTCACTATCTGAAAGTATAGAATAGTACAATAACTAAAAAGGAAGGGACTCAAAGTCTGCAGATGCCAAGCAGCTACCTTGATAGTCTCCAACAAAATAAACTCTGAAATCTAGCAGCCGCCGTATCCGGGAGCACCTGGATTTGCACACGAGGTGTAGGGTGTAGTATGAGTACAACCAACTCAATAAGTAACAAGACTAACCTCTGTGCTGAAAGTAGTGACGAGCTCCGCAGGTATAGTCCAGTATAAATAATGGTACAGAAATATATGCATGCTTTCAAGTTCAACAGTTAAACTCACTACAAGTGAAATAGATCAATACTGCATGATATGAGGAATATGACATCTCAGTGGAAAGACACTGGTCACTAATCATTTGGTCACTCGGTATTGTTTATGGCCAATCCATCCCGGGGATATTCCATCCCGTATATATACACATCGACTGATAGTCAGTCACTCAGTACCGTATAAGACCAATCCAGCCCTCAGGCAATTTATTCCCCCAAATGTAAATGATACGGACAAGATCCATGCCCAGGAAAAATTTATCACAATATAAATAAGGCAAGTCCATGTCCTCGGAAGTCCATCCCGAATATATAATCATCTACGCTCACTGGGGGTGTGTACAGACTCCGGAGGGGCTCCTTCAGCCCAAGCGTGATATAAAGCCGGTATGGCCTACTGTAGGCGGGCAGTCCCGATCCGTATAATAATAAAGTCTATAAGGCCTGCTGCAGGCGGGGCAGCCCCGATCCATATAATAGTAAAGCCTATAAGGCCTGCTGCATGTGGGTAGCCCCGATCCATTTAATAATAATATATATAAAGCCAATATGGCCTGCTGCGACGCGCAGCTCGATCCCATAAATATTCTCACAATGGATGAATATGAGTGAGGGTGAAATGTACATTTTTAAAACAATTAATTTAACAGCAACACGACCCCATGGGTCCCAAAATATTGGCACGTAGCCTAAACATGATCTTTAATAAGAGCCCCAGCTCAATTTCTCTAACACGTCGGAAATGTTCCGATAATAACATGATTCTTTAATTTTTACAACTTCACAGAATTTATTTAAGTCACAATTTCAATGGTGCACATCCACATGCTCGTCAACTATCATGTGCGTCACCTCCAAATAATTTATATAACACCAATTCGGGGATTCATACCCTCAGAACCAAGTTTAGAAGTGCTACTTACCTCAAAACCGCGTAATTTCTTACTCCGCTATGCCCTTGCCTCGTGAATTGGTCTCCAAACTTCCCGAATCTAGCCACAAACAGCACAGTACAATCAACATAGGCTAAAGAAATCAATTCCACAAGAAAGATACGAAATTATAGCCACAAATCTGAAATCGGCTCAAACCCGGTCCCCGGGCCCATGTCTCAAAATCAGACAAAAGTCACAAAACCCGAAAGCCCATTCACTCACGAGTCTAACCATACCAAATTTACTCAAATCCGATAACAAAATCCCATTCAAAACCTCAAAATTCTAGTCCTAGAACTCTTCCTCATTTTCCCCAAATTTTCATCTCAAAACACTAATTAAATGATGAAAACAATGATATATTCGTGTATATTGACCAAATCTGAGTTAGAATCACTTATCCCAATATTTTTCCTCAAGAATCTCTCAAAAATCGCCTCTCCCCAAGCTCCAGTTTGTCAAAAATAGAAAATGGGACAAAACCCCCATTTTATAACTTAAAATTTATGTCTAGGCGCTGCCCTCGATTTCCAGCATAAAATTTCCAGCAGCTGGTTAAGTCCAAATTTTGATCTGTTAACCATCCGAAACTCATCCGAGGCCCTTGGGACCTCAACCAAATACACCAACAAGCCCTAAAACATCATACGAACTTAGTTGAAACCTCAATTCACATAAAACAACGCTAAAATCACGAATCATACCCCAATTTAAGCTTAAGGAACTTAAGAATTTCCAACTTCTATATTCGATGCCGAAACCTATCAAATCAGTTCCGATTGACCTCAAATTTTGCACACAAGTCATAAATGACATAACGGAACTATAAAAATTTTCAGAATTGGATTCCGACCCCGATATCAAAAAGTCAACTCCTCGGTCAAACTTCCCAAAAATTCAACTTTCGCCATTTCAAGCCAAATTTCACTACGGACTTCCATATAATTTTTCGGACACACTCCTAAGTTTAAAATCACCACCATACGGAGCTATTGAAATCATCAAAACTCTATTCCGGGGTCGTTTACACATAAGTCGATATCCGATCATTATTTCAACTTAAACTTTAAACCTTATAACTAAGTGTTCCAATTCATTCCTAAACCTTACCGGATCCAAACTAATCACCCCGGCAAGTCACATAACAACTGTGAAACATAAATTGAGCAATAAATGGGGGAATGAGGTTACAACTCTCAAAACGACTGGCGGAGTCGTTACAACCTAGAGTTTGACTGCATTCTTGAATTCGATCTTATTTCATCTTGCTGTTATTCCTACTTGTTGCAATTACCTTTTCTTTTTTCAGTGGTTCTCTAGCCGAGGGTCTATCGGAAACAACCTCTCCGCCCTTCCCGGGGTAGGGATAAGGTTGCGTACATCTTACCCTGCCCAAACCCCACTCGTGGGATACTACTGGGTTTGTTGTTGTTGTTGTGATATGCAATTATCAAATAAAATATATTTAAATTCTAAAACATGAATTGTTATTTTTTCGTCCACTTAAGAATAACATTAGTTCGTAAAACTATTATTTATTTAGTAGTAAACTCTTTCTTTAGCTACATAAAAATAAATTTCTATAAATTTATTATTTATTTTATTGTAACTCCAATAATATAGTTATATAATTCATGTATATCTTGCTCACAAATTAAATTAAATTATATAACAATTCTTTACATCATGTTCCGAACTAAATCACATTAAATTCCATCTTATTTTTATTCACATGAATTCCATGTTATCTTTTTTTTTTTTTATATAAATTATTCATTATGCAAAATTTATCAATTTACTCAAGTTATTAGTATCGGATAAACTCATTAAGGAGGCAAAGCACATGTGAAACTTTAATTATGGAGTGTTCTTAATGAGAAGCACATAGCAAGATAATGAAAAAAACAGAAAGTCAAGGAAAGAAAAAGGTATTAAAGGGAAAGGGAAATAACACTTCTCGTGTGATTAGCTCTACTGTTTACATACATACACTAGGCAGAAAAGAAAGAAGAAAGCCAGCGTCGGGCCTCAACTCTTGCCAGGTGACATCAAAAAGCGGAAGCGGTTTCTTACGGATTCTTCTTCCCTCAGATTATCGTAATCTATCGTCTGTTTTTGCTTTTACCGCTCTATAGATTTGATAGCACTGATTCATTAGGGTTTCAGTTTCAGAAAAACACAGCACCGATTTGGGCAATGGCAGCGGCGGCCTCTAAGGCAGCCGACTCCTACATTGGGAGTCTCATTTGCTTGATTACAAAGTCTGATATTCGTTATGAAGGATTTCTCTTCCATCTCGATGCTCTAGAATCCACCATCGGCCTTCGCAACGGTATACACTTCTGTTATTATTATTATTATTATTATTATTTTTTATTTTTTATATGATATTGTTTCTGTTTTGATCACTCTGTGTTCTAGTTGTATTCATAAAACTCTGGTCGGAAATATATATATTTTTGGATATATCATTGTTAGTTTGTGAATGTGAACATGTTTGTGCTATCAGAATTTTAGGAGAGCAAAGCAAAAAATTAGGAATCGTTTGCGTGTTGTATGGACTGAGAATTGAATTATACATGTGTCAAACTGCAGGGTTTTCAGATTTTGATTTCTGTTGATAATGTCAATTTGAAAACCCTGCAATTACCTCTATTTTTTTCGAGAAATTGTTTGACTTAAATCTTCCATAAAAAGAAGGTATTTAGGACATGAATGTTTTTTCTTACTTAGGAAAGAACAGCTATTCATAAGAAACGTTCCTTACTAAGTAGAGAAACTCCCACCATAAAAATTAATGGATCGAGAGATGCTGGGAATTATCAATTGAAGCTTCTTATGTATATCTTCCTTGACTTATATCTAGTCCAATCTATCTTATGCATATTGTATTCTATTGAACGTCGTTTTGTGGTGAGGTGCTTTTCAATAAAATTGGCATTAAAGCTGCAATGAGTTGTCTATTTCAACAACCAATAGTAAAAAGGAAAAAGTCGTTTAGACAGTGGTTATGATGGTTTGGTAGCCCCAGGTTAGATGGAAAATGCGAAGAGCTGAGGGACACTTGTGTAACTATCTGAGAATTTATTTCTTTTCACCCTGAAGTTCTGAATGATTCATGCATGCACATGCAACATGTGAGGAAATGTTTTATGCAAAGAATAGATATGTTGCAAGATTTTGATGTCTGGGGGGTATGCCAGTGAATCAAACATCCTTTTTTTGTTGCCATAATCAAGTTATTAGAAGCTGAGTCTTTGTCAATTTTTATTACTGTAATATCAGCTGGTCGCTTGAGTAAGTGCGGACAGAAGGGAACGTGCATGTGTCCAGTTTTTCAACCTTCCAGTTGATATAAAGGCCTGAGTTGAATTTCAAGAAGAATTTGTTCAGAAGCAAATAATTACTTCCCCAACTAGTATTTTAAGATTAAGCTCTTCGCTTTTTATGTGGAGCAAATGTTGTGGTTAGTGTCTCTTTGTGTCATAGCAATTTGATGAATTTTCTAGATCCTGAATTTTGTGACTTGCCTCTGTTAATTTTTTTTGTATTGACAACTGTTAAGTTGTTTGGCCAGATTAATAATGTTTAGGTATTTGGCGGTGTAGTCGACTTGTTTCACCTTGAACTCTTAGCTTCTTGTTATACAAATTTTTGACACATGAGTCATCTGTATGCTGCAGTGAAATCATATGGGACAGAAGGACGAAAGCAGGATGGACCTCAGATATCTCCCAGTGACAAAATTTATGAGTACATTTTCTTCCGAGGTAGTGACATAAAGGTGAACGCTACTTCTGACTTTACCTGCTTACTTTTTGTGTGCTTGGTGTTTTTATTAGAACTAGATTATTGTCATAAAAACTTTGGATGACCTACAGCTGTTCTGGTGATTAATTCGCCTACATGCTCAGTTATCATACCTTTTTTCTTTCTACAACAATGAAGATGAGAGAAACTGCATCTGGGATTTTCATTGGAACTTTCCATTCGGACATTCTTGTTTCTTCATTTGAGCTTTTCACAACGCCAACAGATAGCTACCATGCAAGAGTAGTTGAATTATTTCTTGTACAGTGCCTTACATGGTTGTTCCCGTTATTTTTTTTATTGTACTCTTCCAGAATCATTTTGGCGGTTAATCATTGGAGTGCATGTGATAATTGTGAGTAACTGCGTAACGTGCTGATTCTGCTTGTGATTTCTTCACGTCCAACTGTTTCTAGTTGCTAAAAGCCTCTATGATCATGGGTAGGATAAGGCAGAATTGACAGATTCGATAGTGGGAATTCGTATCCCAAATAACTAAATAGCGTCAGTGAGGATGCCCAAGCTCAGTTCAAGTAGCTTCTCTTTCAGCTTAATGGTGTGGTAGGCTGATTTTCTCTCGACATGCTGAGTTTTTTTGCTTGCACACAGAGTGAATCTATGTGACAAGTGTTCCTTAAATAATATTTATCTTTGGAGATTGGAGTTACGTAATGTGGTGTTTGAATAGCATTTTGTTGGCTTCTCCAGTAAAAAGAAATGAAGATATTAGTTAAAACGGTATTTATTGAATGGAAATAATAGGCGGCATCATTATGCTTCTTCTTTTGGATTGGATCATCAATTAAAACTGTCAGACTCATTTCCAGCTTCTTTGCTGCCAATGGGACTTGTAAGAAGGGCCAGGTTGAAACTTTCAAAAACTTTTGTGGCTGGGCTAATGAGCTGTCTGGTTGGGTGGCCTAAGCTCAAGACTAGCGGGCTAAATTGATAAGAGTCTGTCACTGATAAAGACATAAGTTCTACTATTATCCTTGTACTTACCAGGTATACTTTGAAGTTTTGCATTTCTGAAAAAAGTGACACTCAACGAGAATGCTGAGACCCATAAAGCATTTTCTGATCGTGTACAATTACTCTTACTTACTATTAAGCTCATGCCGCAGCAATAATTATTTCCCTGAAATGGAAAAAATTGGCACTAGATTTTATAGATCTTGTTAGCTCGCTGAATTTTATTTAGGAGTTAAAATGCCACTGTACTGGAGCGAATGAATGGATCCCGTTACTTTATTTAACAAAAAAAGACACGGGAGGTTCCCAGGTTTCTCATCCTCTTTCTTTCCCGTAAAGCCTCAAAATACTAAACAATGAATCTTCCAGGTTGTCAGATATAGTGGGTTTAGAGATTGGTATTAAAGGTTTGGCATAAAAATCTAACAGCGTCTAGATGGATCTTGGTGAAAATCTATATATTTCCTATTGTTTAATCTAACACTAATTTTGTTCTCATGAAATAGTAGCAACTACAAAGATGTTTCTGCACTACTCTTAAATGAAGCACTATCAATTTTATGGCTTGTAATAAGAAAGAAGCAATGTTGAGGGAAAAAGGGGGCTGTGGGTCATTGATCAAAAACTTAATTGCTTGTCTTTTCAGTTGGAGAAGTGATCTTACATTTGACTTCTCCTCGGATGTTGTATAGTATGTCTGATGAAGTTTACCTGAATTAGTGTTGGAGCTATTCGTCTAAGGGTTTTTTCCGGCTCTAAGTATGGGCTCATTCTGGATATCTGCTTCTCGTTTCCCTCGTCTCACAGGATCTGCAGGTTATATCCTCACCACCCCCTCAAAGTACTTCAGTTGTTCCTGATGATCCTGCCATAATACAGGTATGTTGATTTTAATATGATGGATTATCATTCTGTTGCATCTTAGAGATTTAACTAACTTTAATTTATTTTAATTATTCAGTCTCATTTTCCTAACCCCATACCGTCAACCATGGGCATGACATCTCCTGGTGCTGCACAAGTAGCAGATGTTAGTACCAGTGCGCCGTCCATACTCCCTGTTGCACCTTTCCAGGTGAATCTTGCCCCGAATCTGTCGCCACCAAGTTCTAGCCTTTGGGGCTCGCTTCCTCCTCCACCTGTAAATATCAATGGGCCTGCTGTGCCTAATTATTGGCCTGGATTAGTTGGGTCCTCAGGAGGAGTTTCTCAATTTCAACAGCAACGTTTTCCTCCACCACCACAGAGTTTGGTTGCATCCCTTCCCATTCAGCAGCAAGCACAATACCAAAATGTGAATGCATCTCTAGCCGGAGGATCTAGTTTGGCGGCACAACATCACCCATTGCTGCTGCCTATTAGTACTGCTTCCCCAAATTTGCTCCCCCCAATGCCGTCATCTGGGAAATCCAATGCTGAACAGCCTGCTAAACCGTTTCTTAATTTGTCATCTATTCCAATGCCAAATAATGCATTCCGTGCTCTTCCAACTGTAGCAATGGATTCTGGCCCAATAACGGTGTCTGCTCTGGAAGCAGAACTTAATGTCAATGCTATTCTGGCTCCAGTAACTAAAGAACCAAGTTCCACCATTAGCACTTCAGATTCTTTCTCCACAATCTCGCAAACTGTGCCATCTAATGTAGACACAAAAGATGCATCTCTCAGCAATCTGTCAAGATCATCTCTCTTGTCACCAGAGGTGCTGTCAGGAGTGAAGGATTCCTCATCACCTCAATCATCGCAAACGTCAAACGCTGATGTACAGACTGTTAAAGCATCAGTATCAGAACCTCTGCCTTCGGGGAGTACAGAAGAAACCGTGGAGTCAATACCAAAATCTACAACTAAAACAGTATGGACACTCTCTCTCCTTACTTCTCACTTCCATTCGTTCGCTCTCCTATATTGTGATGTGCCCATTAATGTTTGGCAACTAAGCTGGTATTTTAGCTTTACATATAAAAATTGGAAACCTGCTGTTTCCTTGTTTGATAATATCTACCCTTTTCTATTTTTGATGTTTCTGTGCGTGGTTACACTTGTTCGTTATTGAGTAATTTAATTCTTTAGCCTTAGTAATCAGCTTGATGTTGTTGTAGTTTCTTTTGATCTTCATTAAGGAAAAAAGAAATGAAGAGACCCTTAACCAACATCCACTGACGTTCTGAGAATCATATAGTTAATCATTTTTGTGCGAGGCGCACTTCCACATTTACCAATTCGAAAAAGCTTTTGCGGGAACCCTTTAAATAAATGCACATGGATATCATCATAAGCCCACTTTTAGTTTCCTACTTACTAAACAACTTCTGTGATAAAAAAAAATTACTGTTTTGTTATTGGTTGCATTTATTTCCTCCATCTTCCTTTTCTGTTTGCAACGTTACGTAGTTCCTGTTTTTCGCATGTTGTCTGGTGCTGTATTTCATGATTTTACTATCTGATACAACTTGGAGATCTGATTTTTTTTTTTTTTTTTTTTGTGTGCGTGACACCCATCCTTGTTCTCTCTCTAGTTACATGGATCTACATCATCTCATCACAATAGAAGTCACTTTGCTCGGGGAAGAGATGGGGTAATTTTCTCCATATCTTGTAGTTTCTGTTCTCGTTTATGCCTCTTTAGGAGTGTTGATATTTACCTTGTGGGCTGTTTTATGTCTATTCAGGCACATCAAGCCACATTATCCACTCATCACAATAGTAGAGGCCACACACAGAGAGGAAATGCGGTAACCTAAGTCACTTTTTTGTGTGCCCTATGGGTGGTAGACAAACTCCTTATTTGTTGTCCCTGCCCCAGCCCTCCCTAAGCCCAAAAAAGGGAAGTTTGGTTTCTGCGTGGATTCTGTCATATGCCCTTTTTTCTTTGTTGTAATTTATTTCAGCCAAAAGGAGCTGCTGTATATACACATCAAAGTTATAGGAAGCATGCATCAGGAAGAGGAAATGGGGTAACTTTAATTAGTTTAGAGCATGTGATCCATTTGTTTTTCCTCTTATGTAGTTATGGCTAAATTAAGTATTGAACTATGTCATATACTCTTAACCAGAAAGTAAAGGAAGTGATTTCTTCTTGTCCTTCCAGCTTGTTGGAGCTGCTCTACATTCTCGTCAGAATAATATGGGCATGGGCAGAGGACAAGTGGTAATTCAGTTGGCTAGTTTTCCATTGCTTTTTAAACCTTTTTTTTTCTTATAGTCCTGATCATTTCATGTTTTTGCCATGCTGCTTTGTGAAGTTGCTTCTTTCTCTGGTAAATTCAGTATTGCTAAGACTTTCCACTAGTGGTTTGCTATCCCCTTTCATCAGATGAATGCCAAATTTTAGTTTGCCCTTTCTGATTGTGTAAACTCCAAGTATTTGTATTCTTCATATTATGGCCTACCCCATTATTTAATTAATTCCACATTGTTCCAGCCAAATGGTGTTCCTCAACTCAATCATCGCAATGTGGGAGGTCAATTTCGCGGACGCGAAGCAAAGGTAACTGTTCTTTATAGCACTTGATCTCTTTGAAATTCTTGCGTGGATGTGACATCCTTGACAATTCCTAGTAGCTAGATCCGTACAAAATATACTAGTTCAATTACACTGTGTACCTCCTAGTTCTTTTATCATGGTAAAGTTTGCATTATCAACCGACACTCTTTTCCTTGTCATCTGATGACTAATAGGCAATTCATACTTTAGTCACATGGAACTCGAAATAGATAACGATCCATGACCTTGAGGCGTCTCATTCAAGTTAATATCCCAGGGTGTACAAAGGAAACCGACAAACCGCACTAAACCGATAATCCGAGTCAAACCGAGAAAAAAACCCGAAAAAAACTCGACCATAATTGGTTTGGTTTGGTTTTAACTAAAAAAAAGTCAAACCGAAACCAAACCAACTCAACATTACATGTATAGAAGTTTTTAATATATTTAATACATAAAAATATTTATTGTAGCGTCGTTTATAAATATTTCTTAAACTTTTTCATGGTTTTATCTTTTAACATATTATTTCAAGCTTGGACTTATAATTTTTGAATGCTCCAATAAGTTTTATAGTCCATAAATTTTAGTAACTCAAATAAATCCCAAACCAAAATCAAATCAATACTAATGCTAACAAAAGATGTTTAATCTAATTGTATTAAGAATGTCAATAGTGTTGGATATCTATTTTTAGTTTTTTCATGGTTTAGATAAAATGTATAACTTATTTGTTTTTTGGTGTTTAGTCAAGTAAATAATAGTACTTATTAGTCGTACTTATTTTAACAATTTAGTAATTTTAGATTATGTTCATCCTCATTATAGCTTATTAATAATATTTATTTTATGCGACTTTGTATCTTTATTGTTGAATATTTTTGTACAATGTCATGACTCATCTCATATTTTATGTTATTTTTTTCTAAAAATACCTTATATGGTTCTTCTTTACTAGGTTAAAAGAAATATTTGGAGCATAAATTCTACGTTTTATGCTATGAAGACTTTACGAAGAAAAAAACCGAAAATCCGGGAAAAACCGAGATTAAAAAAACCAAACTTTTATTGGTTTGGTCTTTAGATTTAATAACCCGACACAATTGGTTTGGTTTGGTAATTGAAAAATCCGAACCAACCCGACCTATGTACACTCCTGGCCAGAAGTATGCCACTATGAACAGACAATCAATCCTTGACCTCTTATTATAGGCAAGAGTGAAGGCTCGATTTATCAATATCATAAGAGAAGAAAAGCAAGTCAAGCAGTACGCTTGGTTCTTATTGGCTTGAGATTCTCCATTGTGTGGTTCGTTCTTACGACTTGGATTATCTGTTTCATGGCTCGCAAGAAATCGTTCCAATGAGAAATCAATAGAAAAACAATTTTCTCTATTGGATTCTCAGTTAGCTGACTAGGAATCATCTAGCAGCTGCACGAAAGCCTTTGTGCCTTAGCGCCTTCGTTTTCTTGCTCGTTAGCATTGTTTTTTTATTTTGAAATAAGGGGCTGAGCTTGAAGAAGCAAAGCGAGCCTAGAATAGCAGCCTATTGCAGCTTCTTTTACACAAACTCTGTAACTTCTGGAATTGAAAAAGGAAGCTTTTCCATGCCCGGTCAAGATCAAAAGAACTGATCGCTTTCTACAATAACAAAATCGCTTACCTTGGATGCAAAATCTTTGAGCATAACAATTTACAAGGTTATTGATGTAGCTATAAAATCTCATTTCCAACAGGTCAAAACTTGTTTCGAGTATTGAGTAGTTTGGGGAATGTTGAGTGACGATTATCGTGTTGGTTGGTTTTAAACAAGCTGCAGGATGCAAGCCTCTTGACATTTGTACTCAGAGCATACTTTATTTTTTCCAGAATTCCCATTTGGTTAAAAGATTCTCCGAGGAGTTCGATTTTGAGGCAATGAATGAAAGGTTCAATAAGAAAGAGGTATGGGATTTTCTAGGCAAGAGTAACAAAGCTGAATCAGATGATGGAATCGGGGATGGGAAAGAGATGGATTACAGTGATGCACAGGATGAAGCTGGGGATGGAAATGCAAAACATGATTACAAGGTAAGCTGCAGGTGGAAAGTATATGTTCGCGCTTCCAAATTTTTCTCCATGTATCTCTCAATTTGCTGTTATTAACTTTATATTCTACAGTCTGTTTATTGTAAGGACGACTTCTTTGATTCTCTTTCCTGTCATACGCTTGATCGTGAATCTGGAAAAGTGAAGTTTTCTGAACAAAGGAAAAAAGATGCCGAGGTAATTTGATTCTTTGCCGTATCTCAAAAAAAAAAAA